AACTGAGATCTGTGTGTAACACCAATAGTAGCTTTTTTTTTAACATCATTTTTATCTTGTTTTTACCATCTCTTTTCTTTTATCCTTTATCTTTCTTTTACCTTTTTAGTTTTAAAGAGCTAGGGGAGCCTGGTTGGCTCAGTCGGTGGAGTGTACAACTCTTGATCTCAAGTTGTGGGTTCGAGCCCCATGTTGGGTGTACAGATCACTTAAAAATAAAATCTTAAAAAAAAAGTGGGGTGCCAGCGTGGCTTAGTTGGTTAAGCATCCAACTATTGATTTCCGCTCAGGTCATCAGACAGGTTTGTGATTTTGGGCCCTGTGTCGGGCTCCTTGTCAGGCTCTGTGCTGACAGAGCAGAGCCTGCTTAGGATTCTCTCTCTCCCTCTCTCTCTGCCCCTCCCCTACTCACACATGTGCACTCATGCTCTCCCTCTTTCTCTCTCTCAAAATAAATAAACTGTAATAAATAAATAAGAATTTAAAAATTAAAAAATAAAAATGTAGATCACAGCCTGATGGAGTTAAGTGCCTCCTATTCCATGCAGCCTCCCTGCCTGCCACCATGCTGTAGAGTTCATCTTTCCTTTTTGCTCCCATAGTGTTTGTGCCATACGTGGCATATACATGACATTGCACTCCCAATCCAATCTGTGCGAGCAGGATAGCTATGATAATATTCTCTGTGGTTCAATGAAATGCACAGAGGTTTCTCATACTTTGGCTTTTCCCATGATTCAGAAGCAGGGATTAATGTTTAGTGCAGAGGCTGGATACAGCAGAGAAGACCACAACCGGGGAACCGAGATTCCAGCCAGATCAATCACTAGAACCTTCTGTCTCTGTAGGCAGGGGTAATGTGATACCTGCCTTGCTAATTCCGAGTGGTTGAGAAATGTAAATGAGAGAAGAGAGATGACAACCTTTTGCAAATCAAATGCAATAAAAGTCCATTATTCTCTGGCTAAAATTAAATAGACAAGAAATAGCAAGTACTGGTGAGGATGTGGAAAAAAGGGAACCCTCATGCACTGTTGGTAGAAATGTAAACTAGTGCAGCCACTGTGGAAAACAGTGTGGAGGTTCCTCAAAAAATTAAAAATAGAAGTATCGGATGATCAGGTATTTACCCAAAGAAAATGAAAACACTAATTTAAAAAGATATATGCACCCCTATGTTTATTGCAACATTATTTACAATGGCCAAGATATGGAAACCCAAAGGTCAATCAATAAATGAATAGATAAAGAAGGTGTGGTATATATACACAATGGAATATTACTCGGCCATAAAAAAGAATGAGGTCTTGCTACATGGTGGACTTGAGAGTATAATGCTAAGTGAAATAAATCAGATGGAGAGAGACAAATACCATGTGATTTCACTTATATGTGGAATCTAAAAAACGAACAAACAAAAAAGCTGAAACAGATCCAGATCCAGAGAACAAAGTGATGGTTGCCTGAGGGGAGGGGGGTGGGGGGGGGGGGTTAGGCAAAAAGGGTGAAGCAGTGTAGGAGATACAGACTTCCAGTTATGGAATGAATAAGTCACGGGGATAAAAAGTACAGCATGGGGAATATGGTCAATGGTACTGTAATAGCTTTGCATGGTGACAGACGGTAGCTGCATTTGTGAACATAGCATAAGGTATAGGCTTGTCGAATTATGATGCTGTACACCTGAAACTAATGTGACACTGTGTGCCACTATACTTTATTGAGAAAAAGTCTAGTATTATTGCGACTTCTAAAAAATGGAACCTAAGTCAGCAGGCTGGCTTTTGTGAGTGTCAGCTTGCCCCACTCCTACGATTTCTCTTGCTCTGTTTTGGGTATTGGAGATTTTTAGGTTTTGACTCTGTGTTGACCTGGAGGCATTCACCAGGCCACGATGATGCTGGTGGCCTAACTTTGCTGGAAGTCATTTCCAAAGTCGTGGCTAAGGTCAGAGGAGCTGTGACTTCTTGTTGTCTCTCACTGAAATGAACTCATGTTTTCAAAACCTCAAGAAAAGTGAAAAGTACTAATATTAAAGGCCAAGAGCCCCTGGACCACTGTTTTATGTGAAAGATTAATAAAAGTTTAATCTCAAGGAGCAGTTGGAGAAGGGCATGTGTGTGAAGCAGTGAAAGGTTTTTTTGTTTTATTTCTGTTAACTTCTTAAACCTATCTGCACTTTAAAAGTTTTTATTCTCTCCCCCACAAGCCCGAATACAACACTTCTTACTGATTTTTATTAATTCAAAATACCTGTGAATTCCACAGCCTGTAACTTGCAAACGTGGAATACATCGCTGAGGAAAGAGACGGGTACATAGAAAAAATATGCTTATTTAAATCGTATTTTTATAATGGAAGTCAAAAGAGAGCTGGAGTAGCCATACTTATATCAAACTAGACTTTAAATTAAAGGCTGTAACAAGAGATAAAGAAGGTCATTATATAATAATTACAGGGTCTATCCATCAAGAAGAACTAATAATTATAAATGTCTATGCGCCGAATACAGGAGCCCCCAAATATATAAAACAATTACTCACAAA